ATCCGAAAGCGGCCGAGAAGCTTCAAGAGGTGCATCCGCTGAACGCTGGGAAGGTCCGAAGCAATGGATGGAAGGAAGGCATCTGGGGTAGACGTGTTGGCCGTGGTATCGAGATTAACGCTCGCGACATGGAGGCTAGCTGTGCGACCAGGTAGTGAGTTAGGGCAGACTGAATCAATGTCCTCAAGTTGCCCTATACATTTTCCGTGGAACATAGTGGTTGGGACCGAAAGCAGGTTCGTGACATAAATGGTTGCGGAGGAATTTTCGATCGTGATAAGAGCAAATGGGAGAAGAAAGTGCTTACGGGAAGTGAATTTCGCTGACGGCGTAAACAAGGAGGTAGAGAAAGCATAGTCGCAGGAGATTGGCACAATAGCAGACGACATAGGTGGGATGTCCGTGTCCTCGGCGATGACGACACGAGAAAAAGATGACTTGGCAGGAGTGATGTCCGAGATTGCTGATAATTCAAGCTCGGCACGGGCACAATCAACAATGGCATGATGCATGGAAAGAAAGTCCCAGCCCAATATAACGTCATGCGAGCAGTGCGGAAAGACGACGAATTCAACCACATACGAAAACGTCCTGAATGAGTAGACGAGATGTGCACGTGACGGACGGTTGTATGTGATGTGCGGTCGCCGTACGGAGAGAAACAGCCAGAAAGCGGAGTCGTAATCTTTTTCAACTTGAGGCACATTGCTTCGCTCAACACGGGCACAGCAGCTCCAGTATCGACTAAGGCGGTCACGGCAACACCTTCAATGAAGATTGGGATTTCGTTTGCAGGTTAGGAACGAGGCCTTGTAGAGGTCGACAGTGGCGCAGTTCTTGCCTCGGGAACTGCGGTGCTCAGTTTTCCGTGTGGACGGGCGCGATGCGTCGAATCATTGGCGATAGCGATCGCCGGCGCGGGGAGGGTGATAGAGATGCGTTGGAGGTGGCGTTTCGCGATGAGGTGTTTGAAGGAGCGTGGGAGGGTATTGGCTGTTGCGGCTCTGTATGGTCGTAGCTGTAATTGGCTTCGACGGTAGTTGGACGAGGAACGCGGCGGCGGCAGAAACGCTCGACATGCCCGGGTAGATCACAGTAATAGCATATTGGTCGGTTGTCCAGTGTGCGCCAAGGATTATTGGGACGGGTGGCAGGACTTCGATAAAGCGGAACTTGCGGGCTTCTCGGCACCTGCGGTGCGTAGAAGACATGAGGGCGTTGAGGAGGGCCTGTGCGGTATGGCACTGCATGTGAAGGCCTTCTCGCGACGTCGGCATAGGTCAACGGCGCTGATACCGGTGGTGGCTGGTACGTAGGCGGAATAGCTTGGGATACTTGCTCCTCAATGGTTTGGCACAGTGACGAGGGGAGTCCATGACCATTACTACGAAAAGGAAAAATAGGAAAAAAAGGAAAAGGAGAAATAGACAATTGACGGGCAACCTCCTCACGGATGAACTGTTGTATTCGGTGCGTCAATACTACCGGACCTGGGGTGATCGTGCCAACGGTCAGTGCTGACGTGCTGGTCGTGTCGAAACTGTGACGTCGCGTGGAAATGCGCGGCTTTCGCAACTCGTCGTACCTCTGGCAGTGCTGAATGATGTCTGACGGTTCGAGGAGATTTTGCCACAAGCATGTGGAGCGCATCGTCCTCGATGCCCTTCATGATATGCTTGACTGTCAGCTTCAGACATGGCCGGATTGAAACGCCGGCAGAGGCCTACGACTTCCTCAATGTAAGACGTGATGCTTTCTCCTGGCAACTAGGCACGATCACGCAAACGCTGCTCCGCGCGGAGCTTGCGCACTGCCGGTCGGCCGAATACGTCTGCGAAGGTCGTTTCGAAAGAGGCCCAGGTGGTAATCTCAGCCTCATGGCTGTTCAACCAAAGCTCCGCGACATCCCCCAGGTAGAAGTGGACGCGACCGAGTTTTTCGTTATCGTCCCACCAGCTGTTGACACTCCCTTTTTCAAACGAAGCGAGCCACTCCTCGACGTTCTGTTCATAAGTGCCGTTGAGTAAAACTGGGTTGCGCTCCCTCGGAATACCGGGGCAGCGGAGAGCGGGGGCTGTGGCAGCATTCGGCTGTGCCGCAACGTCGTCAGGCATGATGGACGGCGGAGGTAGAGTCCGGCTACGGAGTTCCAGGGTGAAAAAGAGAACCAGCACTCTCCACCACTTGATAGTACGCGTTGAGCGTTGAGTCCGCGACGCGTTTATAAAAACGAACACAGGTCAAGCGCTCAGCGATCCAAATCGGAGCTGTCACGAGCACGAACCACGGTCCTCTTCCTCCTCTTTTGCGGGCATTGCTAAATGTACCCTATACATTCTACAAAATAAATAATATACATATTTATTTACACGGATATAGTTACTTACACGTATGCATATACGGCGAGTGACGTCGCCGACGACGCCGGTGGCAGCAAAATTCAGCCGAGAGTGTCCACATTATTGCGATAAAAGAAAAGCATTCCTGGCATAAGCAGCCAAAACCACCTCGGGAGCAGCGCGACAATAGAGGGACAGAGATAACACACAATAGTTCTCAACGGGTGCTACACGGCTACTAGTGCGCGCTCCGCCAATGTTCTGGACCTCTGCGATGTGACAAGGGGATCTCCTGTCTTCGTGAAACCACAGAGAATGTCGACTGTACCTGAATATTTGGAGGAGCACGTACCCTTAGTTTAAAACCAAATTGAAATATCATCTACGCAACGCTTGCCACTAATCATTGGTCAGAGGTGCCACTGCATGCAGCAGTACTAAGAAATATTAGAAGAGTCTCGAGTTGCCTATTTTGGTGAAAGGTGTCTTTTAAGGAAATGGGCGCAGCAGCATAAGTGCCTTTTCTAGTGGGTGATTGACTTTAACGACTCTGTACTAGGAAAAACAGATTTTCGCCTGTGTCAATATATCTCTGGCGTTCGAGATCGGGAAGGAGACTGAAAGGTTTTGATGGAGAGAAAAGAAAAGCACATCACTAGACGGCACTGCTCCGAGTGAGTCGGCTGTATTAGTAAACTGTGGCTAGTCCTCATTCAGCGCTGCCTCGCCAAACAGGGCGAATTCCCTCTTCTACTATGGTTATATGTGCCGTTGGGCCTGCTGAAATTGTTGCGACATCCACGGAAGAAGGACGACAGCCCACTATACTATCAGATTCTTTCGAATATCAATAGTTATTGAAGGTTAGTGCGAGCGTACAAAAATACTTGCGCGAACCATCAGAGGACCTAGATGGCTCACATAAGGCGCCCGAATTTCAAAGGAGGAAGAGAAGGACAAGGAAAAAACCTTTATTGAAGCTGGGAGTGCCATATAGCTGTTATCCTCACCAGTATGGTCGAAATCCCTAGCCCGGGACGTCATTAGTCGAAGCAGCCACCCGAGCCCGCTGGACCAGAGTTCATTGTGTAGAGCCATTGAGTAGGGCCGTCTCCCAATGCTCCTTGGTGGGGTTGAAAATGGGGGTTAATGTTGGTTTTTTTTGGCAAGTCCAGACCATACGGTAAGTATTGGCCACTTCCCTACATTACTTGCATGGCTCACTTATTTTTGGGTCGTAATATTTGAGTATGGCTGGACAGAGAAGCGTGTGTCTGTAGGCGCCGCAAGACGCGTTCCTCCGTTTTCGAGACTTCGCTGGTGCGGGATGCAAGCGGCTTTGCTCAATGTAGTATTCTTTGATTTCTCGAAACCGTGTTATATGTGTGGGACGTTCAGGTCTATCCGGTCAACGGGGAGCTTTCCGGGAATTAAGCACGTGGGCCGCTCCTTGTGCAGCCTCGTTACCCTAAAGACCCTGATGTCCCGCAGTCCATATAAGACGTTTATTTTTTGGTATACGATCGCGGTTCCTAACGCTCAACTTTAAAAGTCTATTAGGCAACGGTGAGATTTTCTTACGAGCTTCGCAGAAGAAAACCGCAACATTCGCACGTTAAACGAGGAGGTACGAAGACACTAATGTAGCGTGCGTAGTCCGCGCGCGGCCGTGAACAGGCGTTCGACTCATTTTTCGCGCATTTCGCAAAACACGACGCATAGAGGTGAACCAGTCCTCGTATACGTGGCGTCGTCATTTACCCCTACAAACACTCTCGCGCTAACCACCTCCACGCATGAACGTGCACCAACTAGCACCATTCATGTATTTTCCACACGGATACCATAGTGACGTTGTTCTTTCTATGGAGTGCTAGAGAGTTGCTTATCTGAATCAGCTGATGCCTGGCGTTGTTTTCGCATTGGTTCACAGATAGATGACAGTGCATTCACCGCCGCCGAAAGTCACGTGCACTAAACTATGGTGCGCTCGTTCAGGGCCAGCAGGGTCGCAAGGACGAACGTTCCGCTGAGGTAGGGCAAGAAAATACTCAAAACGTGTGCCGGAATAAAGAAGCTGTCTATGCCGACGGCGCCCACCGCTGTTTACAGACATAGAATAAGTCTATACCAAGTGACCAACGAAAGATTCTGCGACCACACTAATCACTCAACCGAGAGAACACAATTGCCTGACGGTAGCTACAGACCGATTTATTTCCCTGCCTTTACATTCTTCATCGCTTCCACCACACACAGTATCCCTCATACTTCCCCTATCTGTCGAGTGAAGCCCAGGCTATATCACTTGCACCTGGGAATGTCGCAACCACCCGGCCACCGCACTATTCTTTTACTTTCGCATTCCTTCTGGGAGACTGCGTTGACCACCTCATAGCCGCGGAAGCATCGTCGGCTGAACCAAGAGGCACGTGCTGTGGCGCGAGAAAATGGGGCCTTGAACTAAGGGCTGCACCTGAGGGTGCCCGAATTCATTATTTGACGCAGTAAGAAATGCAAAATCCTAGAAAACATACGCAGACATTCCCGCAAACGTGCGCGCTCTAGCGTCAATGCTGAAAGGTCGCACAGGTGAAGCACGATCGTCCTATTGGAATATCACCGCAAGGATGAACATCGAAGCAAGACACTCAAAGCACACTATCAAAACTGATATATTGCTATTACAAGAATCAGCGAAAACGCCCAGAAGAAATATTGTCATGGTAACTTGTACTTGCAGATGTCATCACTTAGTCGGACGCACTACTGACCACGTTGTATGAAGTCGCACACGTCATGCTTCCGTAAGTATTGGTGGCTAAAAAGTTCAAGACAGCTGTCGCGTATTCTTTCGTCACACTGACAATGCTGGAGGTAACCACAGCAGCCGTACTCACTAACTTAAGCGGGCTAAGATTGACTGTATTTCGTGTAAAACAGCCTCTGTCGTCTTGCCGGTGAGCTGCTGCACCCTCTGAACGAGTGCAGCGCTTGAGCGCACTTTCTTCAGAGCGTCCGCGCCTTCCTTGTCGCTCCTGTGAGCGCCTGAAATCACGAACTCCGCCGCCTGGTTCTTGAGGTGAACGTTCCTCGCCAGTATCTCGTCCACCTCTCTCAATTGCTCGGGTTCATCAGCCTCCTCGGAAATCCAGAGCTCGTTCAGGGTGTAGTTAGTCTTCAAACCACGTAGGATCGTTTGCAGCTCGTTGGTCGAGATTACGCAGGCAGAGTCACATAGCTCCACGGAAATCAGCGTGTTGTTGACTTCAAAGAGTTCCGAGAGGGACGCTGCAATTTTGGGCGTGACCAAGTGCACGGCCGTGAGGAGCGACTTGACAGAACTGTTCTTTTTCAAGGCATCCAAGACGACAAGAAGCTGAGGCTCTTCCCCGATATCTATATGCTTGCGGTTCTCAATCCGCTGTAATGTTCTCGTATATTTCACTAAGGAAGCGATGCCTTCCGCAAGCTCACTGAATGAGTTATCAAGGTGGACGGAAAGGAAAATAAGCCTTTCGAGCTTCTTCTGGACACCAACAGCGAGGAAAAGCTCCCACAGAATCCTTTTGTTGACCGAGGAGGTGATGCTAATAGACAGTTGGGGAGGGCATGCACCTTCTTGGATGAGCACACTGAGTTCGGGCAAAAGCTGCTCGGGCCAAACAATCTCGAGCCTTTCAAATATGTGGACGTGCCATTTATGTGCCAACAGCCAGCGCACTTTGTCCTTCTCCACGGGACACACGTCATTGAGGTTCACAAGCTGCAGCGTCAAGTTGGTAGCGAGCATCTCCGCGAAGACGATGAAGGTGTCTGAGGATAACTTCATCTCACGTAGGCTGAACCTCTTGAGCGTGTTGTTTACCGCCAGGGCTTCGATGATAACTGCCGCCCCTTCGTCACCGCCCCAGGAGTTTCTCAAGTATAAGTTTCTCAACGTCTTGTTCTGTCGAATGAAGTCAGCAACTTCTCTGGCAAATCTTGTCCCGGTGTTATGGCAGCTCAATTCCAGCGTGTGCAGGCTTCTAATTCCAAAGGCCTTGGAGAGTGTTGTTTCCATATCATTGTTTTCGCAGTCGACATAGGCGCAGACTTTTTTCAAACAAGGAAATTCCTCAAGCCCGTCGAAAACCACTTTGAAATCAGCCATGGAAATCGAGAACACAAAAAGCTCTCTGACGGGGGGTCCTATGTTCAACATTTGCCGAAGCACTGGAGCGTCCCTTTCCGAAATACTGGCATAACAAAGGTCAGCTCCGTGTTTCATATAAGTGCTTGTCGGCCAATATGTCTCGCGTCCTATGCCTTCTATTCCTAAACCCCTCTCGAAGAGCTTTTTGACTTCGTTTGAGTCGAACTGAGTAGTACCTGAACCAGCCATGTTGACGTCACAGTAGTATTGTGACGTTGAACGCTGCGCGAAATTACAGAAAATTGTGCCTCTTTGCTGTAATCGGGCAGCGAGAAAGGGGATATTCATAGGATGCGATATTCCTCCTGTGGTCACTTTAAACCTTCAACCATGAGTTGGTTCTGGATATAATCTCCCATTATTGTGGGCTTTGTGGTGCGCAGTTATCGTGAACCGATAGATGAGCAAAACAATTGTTGGGTCCTTCGGCCTGCAATCGCTGGGGTCCCAGTAACTGACGCTGCAGTTTGGAATAGACGTCTTGAGAGCGGACTTCTTCAACAAGCTTCAGGGTCGATGAAGCCTAACAGGAAAATAAAAACAGAAAGAGAAACATCTTTAGTTAAATATTTCATTCAGAATGGCAGAGAGTTAACATAACTAATCCGTATAAGTTAGTAAGACACTCTGTTGATCCCTCCTAGTAGTTGGCATGATACGATGGTGAAACGCGTATTCAGACTTAGTTGAACAGCAACTGTACATCTATATAAGAGAGTTTGCACAATGCCTACTGGTGTTTAGAAGATAGCACTGCTTAATGCGCCACGACGCACGCCTTGTGGGCTCCATATACAGCTGTGATTTTTCATCTAGCGTCGGCGAGAAACAGCGAGCGAGATTCAAAGACCTATTTTTTATACGCACTTCTGCTGTAAGCGATGCTTGGACTAAAGCCCCCTCCTCATTAGTACTTTGTCAAAATTACACATTTTCGGCAGTGCGCTGAATGCGGCGGCCATAGCAACAGCGTGTTGCTGGAGCTAATCGCGGAGGCAATAAATTACTTCCCTCTACCATTTCGACATTGGGACACTAGCTCGTGAGCCAAGAGCACTAAGTGGAAGTTGTCAGACATAAAATGCGTGTTGGTCTGTCCAGATTCATCTGGTCGAAGCTAGGGCAGTGAGTTAAACGCCCACAAGCTAGCGCTGCTCTCCGTAAGGTCATGGGTTCAATCCAGGTCAATGAGAGTTTTTAGTGTTTTTTTTCTTTACTGTCTAGTCGGCTCATTTCGCTGACGCATTTTCGCAACGGAAATACGTCATGGAGCCTTTCTACTTGATCTAGGTTGGTGACCAGTGGAGCTAACGGGTACCGTCCCGTCTTTTAAATGCGAAGTATTTCTTAGCGAACTTCGGCAACTTTGGGCGTATCCATCCATCCATCCATCCATCCATCCATCCATCCATCCATCCATCCATCCATCCATCCATCCGTCCATCCATCCATCCATCCATCCGTCCATCCATCCGTCCATCCATCCGTCCGTCCATCCGTCCATCCATCCGTCCGTCCATCCGTCCATCCATCCGTCCGTCCATCCGTCCATCCATCCATCCATCCGCCTACGACTTTTATATCTCCTGGCCGTTTCGATCATGGTATCGATACCAAGCTTGGTAAGTCATACCATGACTCTATGATGAGCATAAGTAACTAGTCATAGCATGAAAATTATGACATGTCATGAATGTTATAATATACATTTTATAGTCTTCCTGCTCATGCGGTTGACATGTTACAAAACTGGTATGGTATGACAAGACTGCATGGCGAACACAAGCCACCGACCCAAACATGAAAACCATGACGTGCATGTCATCTAACATTACTACTTGCCACACTCATGATGCACTCGCCAAAACCTCGCTAGCTTCGCATATATCGAATTGGGTGTTAGCGGACGTGAATGGATGACGAATGTATATGGCTGGTGCAATAATGATAAACATGAGATGCGTGTCATGTAACAACATGACTACATGGTACGCTAATGATTTGCTTGCGGCCATTTCGCTAGCTTAACATGTACCAAATTAGGTAACGGATAACATAGGTAAACGACACGTCCAAACATGATAATCATGACATGCGTGTCACGTAACATGACTACATGGCACACTCATGATGCACTCGCGTCCGTTTCACTAGCTTCACATATGCCGAATTTCGTATTACGTCACGCCAATAGATGACAAAGGTATGTGACTGGTTCAAACATGCTAAATAATTGGATGCGTGTCATGTAAGAACATGACTACATGCCACACTCAAGGCGCCAATACGCGACGTGACCCGGTGCGCATGGGGGTCCGCGTTCGTATCGTCGCGTCACGGTGGCGTTGCCACGCCAGGCGCGCGCCACACTGCGTTGCTTTGACGCATGCGCGTTTGAGCGCGCCCGGCATCTCTCCGTCACGAAAAGAGGCAGACGCAGTGCTGTCTGGGTAATGTCATCGGCGTGAAATGTCGCATTTCACGCTGGTTGCTGCCGGGCCGCGCGCACAGATGCTGTTCGCGAGTTCTCGCGTTTGGCTAGCGTAGCGTTGCTGCACCCAGAGTGCGCGCACGCGTCAACGACACGTAAGAGTATATTGCGACCTTCAAGAGTATATTGCTCGCCGCCGTTTCGTTGGCTTCAGCAATTTCAAATTTGGTATTAGGGGACGTGTAAGAAAGACGAAGGTACATGGCTGGTGCAAACACGATAATCATGACATGAGGGCCGTGTACAAACATGACAACATGCCACCCTCGTGGTGCGCTAGCGGCCGTTTCGCTATCTCGACATATACCAAATTTGGTATCACGTGACGCGAATAGAGGACAAAGGTAAATGGCACATCCATACATAATGATGATGATAACTGTCATGTAGAGCATGACTACATGCTACTATCACAGCGTGCCTACGGCCGTTTCACTATTTGTAGATATACCAAATTTGATAGCACGTGACGTGAATGTACGATGAATGTAAATGACTGGTCCAAACATTATACTCTACGCGGAAGTCATGTATGGCACAATTTACCTCCGCCTCATAACGTTGTACTGATTTTAAAGTGACACATCAACCATCCTTCTTCGTGTTCCGCATGTCATTGATTCTCAATGTACGTGGGATCTGCCAATTTTTTGGGGGCGGTATTAAGAAGCACGCTGCTGGTCGTACATCTAATGTGTGGTTGAACCATACTATTCCCACACATCGACGCAGCGGTAGATGTGTCGGAACGTAATGTATGGGTGGAATCTACGCAGCACGTACATTGGAGTGAAGTGGCAAAGCTCGTATTCCTCCAGTGAAACTTTCTGCACCTAACCCACTAGTGCGCTTCCTTTGTTATCGGCCCATCTTTGACCAATCGATGCTCTGAAATGATGATGTCATCATGTGACGCCACGATGGCGCATAAATTTCTGCAATTTGTGATGTCATTATGAGTTTTTTAGTGGACTTCACTGCTCACTAGGAAAAGTACGCGTAGTTTTCGTTAAAAGGACTGTGCCTAAGGCGGAAAAAAATTTTCCGATTGTAGAGCATTGTGGAGAAGATCATTCATCACATCGGTGGCAACAGGCATGTTTTTGTTCCAGAAACAAAAATTACAATTCTAATGTGATGTTGAAAGTGGATAATAAATGGCCCTCAGCGTCATTCAACAGCGATATGGTCAATCAACTGATATAGGACAAGGAATCCCGAAAGTTTGGCTCTTTTGCTAAAAACAAACATTTATTACTTGAAATTGCATTTTACGAAGGCTTGAGGCCGCTTACGGTTCCACCAGGAACTAACTTCTGTTTTTTTTTTTAAGTGTTCGAAGAGGCACCCGGTGGCGAAGCTGGCGGTGTGTTCGCTTGCCTGCATGCATGCCTGCAAACGACGGAGATACGCGAGCACGGCTTCTGCCCCCGCTCATAGGAACAACAAAGTGTGCACGTGCTGAGAACTATATATAGCACTAGGGTATCTGTTTTATTGATAAACAAAACTTAATGATGTTTGCAAAACTTGTGAGGTCTCAAAATGGCGAGCGCCACCACACGCTCTTGGATGAACGGACGCAGTTGACAAGGTCGGAACAAACCAAAAATACACACTCACTTTTATTTACCTAATTTAGAATGACGATATCGTCAGCCGAATTATTTTACCATCAATCGTGATCAGCACGCTAAGACATCCTTACCTAATATTGCAATACACTCCAAAACATGAAAACATGACCAGCACAATAACACACCCAAGGCGTCGCCAATAACGCTTGACTACGGCCCCCTATGCGTCACCCGTGGTGCCACGCACCGGGGACCCACGCTTGAGACCACCGCTCGCGGCAACCGCCGCGCGCAGAAGAGACAAGCTTATTTCTTTTGCGCCGCCACTAGCCTGCCGGGAGGGGTCACATCCGACACTACCACTGTAAACCATGATGATGATGATGATGATAGCGCTGATGACCGCTCGCGTACACAACGCCACCTATCACTCTATTAATAGCTGTGACCCCAAAACACGGCTTCTGCGCGAGGCACCTGCGCCACGCTGCACAAACAACTTTAATGTGGATGTCAGCACCCCCACATCCCCTCATCCTTAATTCAAACCATACTCCGAAAAACAAAAACAAAAAATCAGCTACACAAGCTCTAACAAAAAAATGAAAACACATGTTCCTTCATAATGTCCGTGCACCACGACACTGCCGTCGGTCGACACCGCTGCACTGTCCGGCTCGACGACTTCACCTCAGTACCGGCCCCGCAACAGCAACGTTGCCGTCGGCGCGATGATCTGTCACTCGCGCCGACACGTCTTCTGGTTGCGACCAGCACTCTCTAGGGCGCCGGACTGCAGGCACTTGCGCAGGTCCCAGGCATGTCCATCGCCCGACCTTACGACCGCATTCCTGGCTAGCGGCGCTGACGATGTGCACAAGACATCCAGCCATAGATTACATCACTCCCGCTGCGTACAATCCAAAACACTCGACCGAAACAATGAAGCAGGGCCTAGGGAAGGGAGCTTCGGGATTTTCGCCCACGTAGTATGATGGTCAATACTGCTAGCTAATACATCAGGCGGCGGCCGAGACGCCCATCAAAATAAATCAAAATTCACTTTTCAGAAATCGTGCATCGCAAGATAAATAACTTGTGGGAAGCAGAGTGCAACACCTCAACGCCACGATATTCCTGGCTGTGCCACGTGCGACAGGCGGCTGCGCAGAGCCTAAGGCCTAATAAGTCGCTTGGCAACAACCGGTATCCACCCAGCACCCAGCCGACACTAGCAATGAAGTCCCCCTAGGCCTACTCTACCCCGGCTTTACCAAAAGCTTGTACCGAACCACAAAAA